GCTGTTTGTGATTTAATTTGAAGAAGATTGGCCTTAAATATGTGTTTATGTAGTCGTTCTAGCAGTTTTGAAACTTCAAGATTGGAATTTAAAGTGTCAAAAATAAAGGGAAAAGGGATTAAGAATAAGGGAGATGGAAAATCATGTATGTCAAAATGTTATTCGAAAATTTGGTAAGTGTTTCTCATATTAGCCTACACAATGTTTAAAATTAATCAAAACCAAATTGGTTATTTCCTCCTGCATTTACCAGATTTAAAATCCATAAACCTATGAAGACCATAAAGGTTGAATTTTGTTTCTAAAATTGCTGGCGGATGTGTAAATATTTTATACAACAAATGTAAGTATCAAAATGTTTCTATTTCGTGTCCTCTTCCCGTTGCAAAGCACGGGTACAACAGCTAGTACAATACTAATAACACATGCACAAGTTGTCAAGGTTTAAAACATGTAATAGCTATTTACATTACAAGTGTAGTAAGAGCGTTTTTACTTCACGCAGGTGAATGTTGTGCAACGAGCGGAAGCGAGTTGCATAATTCACCTAAGTGATGTAAACACGCTCTTGCGTAACGTGTAACGTACAAGATTTTACCTGACCCGACAATATACATGAGTTTACGTACAACATTTTTCATTATCCATTTCACTCATCTTCTATCAGTAACGTTCTTTTACTAACAAAAGCTAGGTTAGGTAGGAAAATACTTTAAAGCATAACAATTAATAACATTCAAGCGCACAGCTGATTTCTAGCGTTGAACGTCGTTGGCTCCATAGAGTTATATTTTTTAAGTTAAGCACTCAATGTCATTTAAATGGGTTTCTTTACATCACCGAGTGAGTTTTTGATACTTTACATCACTCGAGAAGTAAGGAAGTTGTATACATCACGCTTGGGATAGGGAAGTTTAACATGGCGGGTTAGGTAATAGCTATTTACATTACAAGTGTAGTAAGAGCGTTTTTACATCACGCAGGTGAAAGTTGTGCAACGAGCGAAGCGAGTTGCATAATTTACCTAAGTGATGTAGGGAACACGCTCTTGCGTAACGTGTAACGTACAAGATTTTACCTGACCCGACAATATACAGGAGGTTACGAACAATATTTTTCATTACCCATTTCACTCATCTTATAACAGTAAGGTTCATTTACAAACAAAAGCTAGGTTAGGAAAATTCTTCAAAACATAACAATAAAATTCAAGCACACAGCTGATTTCTAGCGTTAAACGTCGTTGGCTCCATAGAGTTATATTTTTTAAGTTATCCACTCAATGTTATTTAAATGGGTTTCATTACATCACCGAGTGAGTTTTTTGATACTTTACATCACTCGAGAAGTAAGGAAGTTGTATACATCACGCTTAGGATAGGGAAGTTTAACATGGCGGGTTAGGTAAATATCTATAGAGGACGTAGCCTGGTGGCACAAGGCCTAGGGCACATGCCAGTGGGGCGGAACCCTAGGGTGCCCGGGGGTGTAGGCACTGGGCAGGTGGGGAGTCAGCTGCACGTGCCTCACCTGGTGCACACACGCACACTCACACACACACAGCACATCCCTTGGGCGCATCTGGAGATGCAGATGTTAGCCGAAAAGGTTTCTTCAATCTTTACACTCCCAATCTCTAGTGTATCAGCTGCTGTAGTCATCTGTTGCTCCATTCCTTTTACTGTTTGGCCCGCTTCCAAAGGACGCAGTTTAAAAGACTCCTATCGATTTTATTCGCTCAAAATCGTGCGAGGTGCAATAAAGAATGTGTGACTTTTTATTTTGAAGTTAACTTTCAAGTTTGATCGTAGAAGAAGAATATTCACTCTGACTCTGATAAGACTTTTTTTACTGTTATACTCTTACTGTGACTCAATACCATACTCCTGTCCTATTTTCTCTATTATATGTACCGTATACACTGTGATATATTGACAATTATGTGCTTCTGAAATGAGTATAATGTAGGCCTACCCCAAAACCTGACGTTAAAATAAAATACCCCCGCCGCAGCAAACCTGCAGACTAAGCGAATTTCAACTTGTCTAATAACATTTTTACTAAAATATTTCCATAAATAAGACATATTTATCCCCTATTTAAATAACATTAGATTTAACGAGTGCTTAGGTCAGCTGCTACGGGGATGGTAAAAAGTATTTTTTGACCATACAGTATAGGATGAAATAAATAAATTTGTAAATTTTTATCAATATTGAACATAAACAAGTAAACTACTAAAGTTATGATTTCTTTACAAAATAAAATGAAACTAAGCAATGCGTATAACAGCTGTTCCTCTATTACTATAGTGTTTACAATTAACAGCTGATTCTATTCATCATATGCCTTTATGTGATCTTTGTTATTTGTTTTTCTCTATTATTTTTTCAAGTAAGTTTGGCAGATGAATGACCTATAAATGACTTTAATAGGGGATTAAAGGTAGAAAACAAGTTTTTTCAAAACATGTTATAGACAAAAGTTATGTATTTTTTAACGTAGAATCCGATTCTGTGATCAAAATTGGTAGTTTACATTTGATAAAGTTGACTTCCGGTCTGAAAAAGCCACTTGCGGTTTGATTTTGGATTTGAAATTATCACCGTTTGGTAGACCGTGCCCAATGTATTTAGTTCCGTATTATTTGCTGTTTGTAAGGAAAGATTTCCCTAGTTTTTAATGGGGTGTACGGGTGGTTTTTGACACCCTGTATAATATAGTCAATGTCTATATATAACTACTAACTACTACTAGGTCTAGGTCAGGAGTACCTACTAACTACTAACTGTAGTTATATACGGATGGTCGCAGTAAGCCTGCAGACAAGATAAATGTATAGTTATTTCAGTCTTTTTTTACAAACAGATGAATAATTTCAGGTAGGTTTACGAAGTGGTCATTTGATTCGGTAATAAAAGTCACTTGGCACAAATGATTGATCTAATAACTTCAACCGATTTACAGGTTTGTAGTTTTAAATAGCGCCTTCACATGTGTTGTATGCAATTCGCAATGCATTACTGCGCTTAGTAACTGTGCTAAAAATTGAAGCCACTGAAAATAGAATAATTATTATGTTACTCATCACAGCATGCTACTATTGACACTAGCAAACTGAAGGGAAGTTTGAATAATATGAATAATATGGATGGATATTATTTAAGGATGTTCTTAATGGAAAGTAGCTAGTAGCTATTACCATATTACATACCCCCTTAAGAAATTATATAAAGTTAATAACATTCCATAAGAAATTTCAAAGTTGGCCGCCATATTGGAAAATGGCGACTGAATTTCAAAAAAACTAAATTCATATTTTTAATTTCCACAAAAAATAAAAGAATGTCCCCCATTTAAAGTTTTCTCTAATTCTTACCGTTTCCCATATCCCAATAGTGGCCTCTTTGAGTTGATCACCCTGTATACTTACATAATAACCTCTAAGGTGTTGTTTTACTTATTTTTCTAATGTTATCAGTCTCTAATCCATCATGTAAAGAGTGGTGCATAAATAGCAGATGTAAAAAAAGTGTAGCAGTCAGATAAACAACAATATTACTACAGAGCATATTTTAAGGGATTTCCACTGGGCGACAGTACCGGGGGGTCTGAGAGGGGCATGGAATACCCCCTATCAAAAAGGGGGGTCCGGTTAAGTTAAGTCTTAAGTTAAAGTGAAAATCACACATTGCTACGTATCTTTTAATGAATTTGTCGATTATATTTGCTTGTAAATAGTCCATATAATCTCACTTAATTACGTATTCTAGAAGGTTGTAACAAGCCAAGGCTCCCTTCACAACATCTTGGGCCAAAATCATAGCCCAATACTCTAAAATATTTACATAATGTTATTTTTTAAATTCCGATACATTTAAAATGTGAATCATAAAAAAAATACGCCGGCACCACCCATAGTCACTGGGCGACAAAACCTAAACACTGGGCGACACTTGTGTCGCCCAGTTAACATGTTATTTTATGCCCTGATATTACAGCTAAATTACACACAATTTGTATGTGGATTTCAGCTATGAAAAAAATTTCTTTCAAATAACCTCCACTGACTGATGTCCACACAAGTGTCCAATTTTTTCGTTTATTGACATTGGTACCTAGTTGCAGAGATTTTATGGATGATGCTGTTCTTCAGATCAAGAATGGTTTGAGGTTTTCTTGCATGGACTTGTTTTAGGTAATGTAGCCCCACATGCAAACTAATCTGGCAAAGGCAACTATGTTTTCTTTCTGATCGTTTTTAGACTTTGGAGAAAAGATTTTTCTACTCCTGTGAATGTGATGTGTCCCTCTGTAAAGTACAGACTTTGGCCTTCCAGGATGTTTATTCTTGAAAACAGATCTCCGAGTTCTCACTAACCGAGTTATAACTGCCACCAGCTCTGAATATGACTATTTGCAACAAAGCCGAAATGTCAGTTCCACCCAGTTTTCCAACCCGGTCGTCCTCAGAACAGGAGACCTCTCTTTAGTGATTGTGACCGTCGTAGCTTTACTTCATACGCTAAATATCTTATAAGGGAAACTTTGTCAGTTCATTCAGTCAAGTAGCTGACTTACTTTTATTCAGTCAAGTCAAAAGCTTACTTTTTAAATTGCTATTTGTGATAGGTATCATGTACATTTTACAATCATATACAATTACATACATTTATTACATTTTAGTTATCTCTCAATTTTTCCTCCATAAATATTGTATTGTGACTTGAGCTCCTTTATGGATCGTAAAAATTAGATGGCCAAACACAATTATAAATGAGTGTGACAGACCAAGAAACCATAAAGATGCAGACAAAAAGAAGGGAATGGTGTAGGGTGAGGCAAAGGAAAAGGACACTTTTGGAAGAGGTGAAACTGTAAGGCAAGACCTAGGAAGTCAAAAATGAGAAAGACGTTCCCGCCTTACTATACCACTGACTTTACTGCTGAATTTAAAATGTCAAAATCACTTCAAGGGTAGATAAGGAAAAAAAAGGAACTTTCTATTTAAAAACAATATATTTACATAGAAAAGTCAGAAAATGTTAACACAAAAAACCATTACCGATGCCTCTGGCCTTTGTGGACTTTACTACCCATGACTCGCTTCCTTCCTTTTGGATTTGTTTTCTTTCCAAAATTATGCTTTGACTGCATGTTCTTACTGCCTTCTTTCCTCCCATGAAGCTTGGCACCCCCACGACCTTGATGTCTTTTTTCATCCTTATGACCTTTTTGATCCTTATGACCTTTTTGATCCTTGTGATCCTTATTTGAAGAATCACTTTTAAATCTTTTATTTTTGTGTAGATCCCGTGGAATAAACTTCCGCTTCATCCCAACTGTTTTCCTTTGAGAGAATAGATCTAGAACAGGTAAAAATCTTTTGAGGATGGCAGTAAAATAATGTTTTTTATTTATTATAGTTTACATTAAAGTAAAAGAAAGTTGCAAAACCTGTGTCCCACTTTTTAGCAAACATTACAAACATTTTTTTTCAAAGAAAGACATTTCGCTCAGGTTTAAATTCGTAATTATAAGTAAAATAATTCGTAGAAGAGTACAGGTAGGCCATGGAACATACATAAGAAGACACATATAAATATGTGTCTTTTATGTATTCTATGGCCTTTGTACTTCTTCTACAGTAAACTAGCTGCTACCTATCTCATTATTTTACAAACCTAAAATAAAATAACAAGGTACGGTATTTTGTGTTTGTATAACGCAGGGTTTGTTTAAACACAGTTTGTAAAGTAAATAACACAAGTTACAACATAATTACCTTTATCAGGATTCTCCCCTACTTCCTTACGGTACCACTCAGAGTCACTTTCCTCATCGTCTTCCCCTATGTTACCCTCTTCCACAGACTTCACCATCAATTTTTCATTTTCAGACAAATATTCCTTTTTCTTCCTCTCAATCCCTTCCAAAGATTTTTTCTTAAGCTCATCTTTCTTCTTATCTTTTTCTTGTTTATTCAATTCTTGTTGCTTCTTGCGCTGTTCTTTCAACCGTCTAGTGAAAATTACAAAGCTAAATTATTTCAAGACAAAAAAGTATCAATAGTCTTATTGATTGGATGGATATTGAAAGATAATTTAAGAGTTTGAATGAAAAAATTGATTAATCACTTACTTACAAATTAATAATACATTTTCTATACTGATTCACCAATTGAAAACCAGAGTTCTTATGATTGTTGAATACTGTAACTTCTAGCGTTCTTGATTGAATGGAGGCCTGGTCAAAATGAAGTAGTAGGAAACCTACTTGAAACAAAGAGCAACTAAATTTTGAGATGAATCAATTCAACCCTACAATAATTGCATTAATAATGCTTATTAGGTTTTTCAACAATAATTTTAACTTTCATAGCATTGCCATTTACTCAACTAAATTAAATTACTATTTGGGCTTACTTTTTCTCTTCTCTCCGTTTGTTGATGATGGCAATTTCTTCAGGAGTTTTCTTTATGATGTCATGATAGATTACCTCTCCTTCACACAAGCCTCCTTCTACTTTGATTAACTGTTGGGAAAACAATACAAAATCAAATCATCTTGCAATAGTGATCCTATTTTTTTTAATAATCCTAGAGGCTAGTTAAAATAAAACTATCAAACTTACTGTGATGAAACACGAGTGTTATATTGTATGAACCTTTTGTAGTGTCATTACATAAGTCTCTCAACTTAGGTGACTGACCTGAGTTAACAAATTGTACCCTTTCCCAGAAAATTATCCTAGATGAGTCACATAACTTTTCCTTAGAATATAATGAAAAAAGAATTTAAGAAACTATTATAAATACCCAAATTGGCAGTGTTACTAACAAAATACAAATTTATTTTAATGGATTTCTTTCACAAACTAATATTCAACTGTGCATTCATATGACACTTTATCCAAACAGAAAAAATGATATAAATATTTTTCATCCCTTTATTATTGACTAGCAGAGCACCCATCCTTCGTACAGGGTTGGCATATAAGTATAAAATGCTTATTGCAGTTATACTCAAAGTTCATAAATTTACGGTATGATATAGTATAACACATCTACTATTGCCATAATGTTCTACCACTGCACCTAAACAATAGAAAAAATAAAATTATCAAATATTCATACAATATCACAAATTATTCATTAAATTAAAAACTCAAACCTAACTGTAAACAATCCTACTTTGACAGTTCTAATTGTATATCACAGCTTTTTGTTGCTATTTAGTTCAAATTAGCTGTAGTCATATATGAAAACACAAAATAATAATAGTGCTGCACCCTGTTGGGAAACCTTATAACTTTTCAATGCTATTACATCCCAAGTTGAAACAGCTGACTAAATTCTTTAATTCCCTTTAACACTCCGAGTGTCATGCGTCGCTGCAGGGACTCACAAACACTGTTTACGGCAAAGGCTCTATGACTGACTGAATCGGATTGAACTGGATCGAGTTAGGTATCGTTCTTTTCCTTAAAATTTAAGCTTTCTCCAGAGGTCTGTCTCAGCGCTGTATGTTCTCTGAGCCGATCGTAATTGTAGCAGACAGCTGACGTGCGTATTTGTAAGCAGCTTGGTTATCCTCGGACTGATGACTGATGTGTTTTATTACGTTTATCATTGTTTTAGTGTTAAAAATCAAAAGTAGTGATATACGTGGTGCATTATAAGAAGATTTAAGTGATTTTGAAGGGCTGGTTGATGATCCTGAAGAAGTAGGTAGTGATATTGATGTAAATTATCAGCCAGATTCCTAGCTATGGTTAGGCTATGCATTCTTAGCTAAACGCAATGTACTGAAATCTGTTTTTCACTCATAACTTATTTATTTGATAACTTACCTCATTATATGATTATATATTTGTAATCCTCATAAAATTTAGAACAAAGTGGCTATTTTCAAATATTTATAGGCCTATAATTTATACAATTTCATTGAGCGTGAACTTATTTTTTTTTTTAATTTTCCAAAATATTTTTTATTTTACCTAAAAATTTTTTTTTACAAATGTTCCCTATGTTTTATATATAATATTGAAGCCCATGATTTTCCAAACAAAATGGTATATAGAACAGTATAATTAACATTGTTTTTAAGCTTCTCAGATCCGTTTTAATAAAACCTTGCAAATGAGCTAAAAATAGGCAGACATTAAGGCCAAAACAAGGGACACTCGGAGGGTGAAATATGAATACTCATAAGGTTAACATGGGGAACTACAGAGCCACTGGGGCGGAGCCCGAAAGGATTTTTGAGATAAGAATATATGCCTTAATGTTAATCGGGAATGTGAGCTATCATCATGCCACATTTCAGCCCAATGCGTCCAGTAGTTTATGCGTGATTGAGCAACACACACACAAACTCACAAACTTTCAGATTTATAATATTAGTAAGATTGTATCTGCTCCAACTTTTGAATTGTTTTTTAACTATTGTCATAGACTAACCAACACAAGTAGACTTCTCATCCCATTATAAATTTTGAAGCTCGTTTTTCATGTCTAGTTCATGTATGGTGACACTGGGCGCTAGTGTCGACAAAATTTTGTTTCTATTATTTAAGAGTTGATTTCTTAATTTGTGCTTTACTGTTTGGTTATATATCTAGGGGATGAGTTATTGCTTATGATTAGATCGTATTTGGTTAAACGAAGTTTTAAATGACTGAAATAACAAGAAACAAATTGTAAACAAAACATAACCTCTGCAGTACACCGTTCAAAACCAACAATAAAATAGTTTTCAGCTGTTTCAGAAATCTACTAAGGGAGATGTTTTATCTATGCTATTGGGTTTACACCAGTGGAATTTTTTAGATTAATTAAATGCAAAGGGAATAGTGGTATAAAGCATCAATTTTTCAAGTATCACTATCAGTATCGAGAATAGAAATTTTTTGGAACTGAAAATGAAATGAAAAATGATTTATTTAGTCAGGCAAAGTTAGGGCCACATGGCCCTCTCTTACACTTAACCTGCAAACTGAACTGACTGTTGACTTGTTTCTTTACTATATTGTGTGTTATTTTACTACTAAAGGATGAGATGTTCCTGTAGTTACCTGCAGTGTCATGCGTGGGCCGATCTCACTGAGCCTGATGGCCGACTGGCCGTCCTGTACGTTACCTCTGGCCGAGATCTTCTGAGGCAGAGTCACATGACTGTCTCCGTCATCTTCCGCCTCACTCTCCGACACATCTCCTCTGTCACAAACATCAAACGATTTCAGTTAATAGTTAAGAGAACAAAAACCAGATTGTAGGCCTGCAATTTGCTCATAGGTATTGTCTCCTTAAAAATTGTTGCCTCTTTTGTTTATTGGTATTCATAGACGCAAATAGTTTTCAGTTTAATAATGCCAAAATCTGCATATTTCATTGATATTATTATAAGTTTAGTGATTAGTCTGCAAAAGCAAGAGACCATGATTTAAGTATATACTTACACTCGAATCTTACCAAAGTTTATAGAACCAACTTACGATATACAGTAGAAGATCCCTCTTTTTCTTTAACATTAGGCTACAATTTTTATACTATAAAGATATGCAGTATTTGTTTTATTTTTTAAACTCATAAAATAATAATAACCAGATAATAATTTGTCGGTGTAGTCGATCTGGTACTAGCCTACAAGGGTTGTTCAGAAAGTAAGAAACGTTAACCTGATGTCAAATGGTGTCCACTGATTGCACACTTTCTTGTGCATACGCTTTTGCCTACACAATAACAGTCCAGCCACTCCAGCAGAACTGTCATTGTTTTGCCAGTTATGGTAAAATTAAAGTTCAAAAAGGGTGTTACAATTGAAAATCTCAAAGGAGAACAAGAGCCACAGGCGTTAGTTGTGAGGCTGTAGGTAATTTTTGGTAACAGCTTTGTTGGCCATACGTACCGGTACTTGAAACCTATGGAAATTTATCGTCAATGGTGTGAAGTGTACGGAGATAATGTAATAAATAAAATCTTTGTCTACAAATGGTGTGTCAGTTTCAAAATAGCCAAACAGCAGTTGTCATTCAAAATTCTGTTTTTTCACAACAATCCCTGACCTCAAACATCAAATCGCAAACATGGTTTACTTCAATCATCCAAATGGGAGATTTTGTCTCAACTATCCACCCTTCAATCTCCCATTTCAATCAATGAAAGAAATATTGTGTGCAATTTGCCAAGAGTGGTCAGGCATTTTCATGAGGAAACCAAATTTTGGCAGTCCACTTAAGTTCGGCCATTTTTAAACTGAATGTACTGTACTATTTAGGGGTGGATCATTAATTATTACCTACATTGTTTCCAAACACTTTTTCTATAGGTTTTAAGTATTTGGACAGCAAAAACAATATTAGACATTGTTTTTTTCTATTTTTCTAAACAGTAAGGAATTCCAGCAAACTTTTCAACTTGAATCTTGTACTTGAAAGTTTGCGATCTGTAAGCACACGACTATTTCATAATTGTTATCAACTTTTTGTATAGCCCATGTACAAGACTTTCTATTTTTATCCACCATATTTTTATTTACATACTATACTATATCTAATTTTATTGAAATTCCATAGGCAATTATCTAGTTTTATCTATGGGTAATTTTACATTTTACTAACCTTAAAATAAACTCTGACACATCGTTGTATTTGCCTAGGTTGGGCACCTTGCTTTGGACAACTTTCTTGACCCCCTTAGTTAGACCTACGGGTGTCACTCTGATCACATAGTGACGGAACTCTATAGTTTTGTCCTCATGGTTGTAATTAAAGAGAACACACCGGCGGATTGTGTCCAGATTCACCTGTAAGTTAATTTAACTGTTAAAAGAAAAGCAACATTCTACATTGTACCTATGCTGTGTTAATAATTTCTTCAAATTAATGTTAAGAAGATAAAATAGCTTTCGGACTGAACTCATTTATACATTTCACTCATCCTAGGACATATAGGTATTAGTTTAATTGGTTCTTTAAGAATGTCCCCTTCACTCAGTGACGTAGCCAGCAACAGCAAACAGGTCTTAAATAACATTTTTTTTTTTAATTATATGTAAAATTATATTATCACACTGTTTTGACGTTGGGGTTGATTAGTTTCAATGCTAAGAGAGCTAAAAAATACCGTTTTAGGGCCTATATTTTTAAAATTTTTCCCGGGCCCCCCCTTTTACGTTGATCCCCCGGTCAGTCGACCCCCCCTATTTTGTAATCCTGGCTACGTCACTGCTTCACTTATATAGAGTTCATTGAATGTTGTTTTACGAAATCAAACTGTATTTCAGGAACCGTTACAAATTGCATTGGAAAGGATTGCATTGCGTTTTTTTTTTTCAGACCAACAGGGGAAAAAGGTTTTTTTTACATTGGAATGAAATCGTCCATTAAGTTATGTTCTATATTTTACTGAAAATGTTTGACCAGCCTATTTGTTTATGTCACATTTAATCAACTTATCTGCTCATTACAATGATTACAGGTCTGTACAATTGTCTAAAGACAGTGAAGTACTTTTACTGTACAAGTCACATGAGCTAGCAAGTTAGTGTTGGTTTATTGGAAGGGGAAGCCAGCAATGTCTAGATTGTCAACCCAATACGCTACCCACTCAAACTATAAAAGGTTTAACAAATAACTCATCTACTCACCTTAGTTAGATTTATTGTAGGAAACATGTTCTGAAACATTGTAGCCATCAGTTTCATGTGAGCTCCTTCGCCAGAGAAGTTATTCAGAACAACCAATGGGAAATTTCTGAAGGCCTTGTCACATGCATACTGTTTTCTTATTTGGGCCAATACATCTCGAGCCAACGAGTACTTCAACATGCGGAATGTCAGCGTAGGACCTCGTGGGAATCGGCCAAACCGAACATAACTTCCTAACTCTGTGCTTGTGAACATTACAAGATGAGAGACATGAAGTAGGCCAGCCACTGCAGCAAAGTCTTTCAGTACATTTTTCTTTCTAACCTGTAAATTTTCCCAAAATAACATGTTTATACAAAACCAATGCTACAATTTTAAAAATTAAATTTTTAGGCAGGTGGAGAGCTTTGATTATAAAATTTTTTACTTATCAGCTTATCACACTTTGGTTAACCTCCTTATTTAAAAAAAAAATGGATGTGTAAAATTGTAAATTGACGCTACTACTATTCTTAATGAATGTGTAAATAAAGATTAATTGTCTATTGTCTATTGTCTATTGTATTCAGCTTAGTTACCGGTATTTACTAATTAGCTAACAATAGAAAACTCAAAGGATTAAAAAACAATTCAGAAAATTGCAATGTTCTAAATCAAAGTGCAGTTAGTATAAAATACTAGATACTACAGTATGAAAATATGTTCTATCTTTAGGATACGGGGCCTATCTTAAAGATAGAACATATTTTCGAACTTTAGAATTTAAATGTAGGCCTAGGCCTAGCCTATTTGCCAAATTCTAGGGCAACACTTTAACACGTTACCTATGTAGTGTGTTAAGTTAAATAAAACATTTGTTGTTATTTTAGGAATGGTTCAAATAGCTTTTTTTTTAATACGGTAAGCTATAGAACTAGTACAGTAGGCTATCTTTTTAATTTTAATTCTTTTAAGCAGCCTTAATTCAGACGGTAAATGATGGTCAACAATAATCAGGGTAATAAGAATTTGGATTGTTGGAGTTCTACTGTATACCTAGACACAAGAATAAAGGTTTGAGTATTGGCATTAAGGGTGGATTATTCATTACACACTTGCCTTAAGAGAAGATGCAGTAAACGGCTCCATCACTTTCCTGAAGTCTTTAGTGAAGTCAACAATTGTCTTTCCAACAGAACCTCTGTGTATTACAAATGAATGAGGAGCTCTGGTAACTTCTTCTGGCTCAGCCTCACCTCTGTTGGGATTATTCTTCACCGTCTTTCCCTATAAACAAAATATATTTCTTATCTACTTTACACCATTTACTAAATAAAAAGTAGCAAGTAAAGTAACGTCAGGTTTAAAAATTATGTTATTTAATGATTCTAAATTATATTTGGTCTTTGTTAGCCAATGGATTTTTAAGCCTGGGTAGAAGATGTAGGCAGGCCTACCCGTTAATTTTCATCTTGTTTTTGTCAATAAAGGTAAATAAGAATAAAAAATTTATCATTTTATAGAATGAAAGTGTTGAAATTGGGCTACCGGTACAACTTATTGCAAGTTTAAAATCTGGAACTGAAAACCACACCTAGGACTCAATAGTTGTTGATAATCAACGATTCAATGATTAAAGAGTATGGGGGTACCCCCGCAAAATTTTGAAAGCTAGAACTCCAAACTCGTGTTTTCAGACATTCCAAAGGTGTAGGAACGTTCAAAATTACTACAAAAATCAGCCCAATTGAGGCTGTCTCTTCTGAGGTTCATGAACTTACTAAAGGCAGTTGAACAGAATTAACAGGTTCATTTGCAGGTACAGGAGGAGAACAGTCATCTAATTTCCTGGTTTAGAACATGTTTGATATCTATTAAATCCTGGCATTTTCTTTTGACCGACATGTTCAGCAAGATTCAAACAAATACACATAGGCTACGTAATTGATTCACTTTTCACTTTTGAAACATCTTAACAGTGCCTCTCTGGTCATCGCCCCGACACCCCTCCCCCACCCATCAACAGCATTGTCTCGGACCCCCAACTGTGTGTGTGTCCAATGGCATAGGCATGCGCGCAACACTTGTCTCACTTGTGGCTTGCAGATACTGTATATTGCTGCTTCCTTTTGCTAATTTAAATTTAAAATTGTTAAGTTTTAGTTAAGTTAATGCTTTTCTTAACCTTTACACGCTTAACGGTATATGTTAAAACAACAGTACCTATTTAAAAACATTTAAATTTTATTTATTTTTCATTTGTATTTTTTCTAAATCCTGTAATAAAACTTAGGCAATAATTTAATCAATATGTATCATTTGTCTTTGGGGTTGTAAGGTGACAACCCTGATCACCACCCTTGAACGCCACTGTTGAGTCTCAAGTAAGATCGATTTACCAAAATGTCATTTTGTCGATTGAGTTCAAAGCCTACTTACAAATTATTATTGCTTGAGCTACATAGGCTACTTTCTAACAAGAAGGTCACCATTAGAAAGTTTTAAGTCAAATTAAATTAAGACCACGGATTGGACAGTTTCCTTACAGTAAAAGTTAATAGTAGTGTAGTAAAAAACATGTGTCTTCAATTCTTTATTATTGTTTTGTTGTGTTTGTAAACAAATCCATTATAATTCAATGTAGTATTGTTCAAGTTATTAAAATTGTAATGAGAGTAAGAATGAATGAAAAAGAACTTTTATCACCTTTAGAAAGGTTTTTAATAAATTAGGCTGCACGTCAGCAGCAACCTGAGGAGACTATTGACCAATATCTCCAGGCTTTAAAATTACTAAGTAAAGACTATCAGTTTAAAGCTGTGACAGCTGAAAAGAATAGGGATGATTATATCCGTGACACATTTATTGCAGGAATAAAATCTTCTGCAATTCGCCAGCGATTACTAGAAAATGTTTCGTTGACACTAGATCAGGCATATAGTCAAGCCAGATCCCTAGAACTTGCACATGAGCAATCATTAGCTTTTCAATCTTTCCAATCTATAGTAAATGCAACTTCGTCCCAAGATACTCAAGCGAGCAATCAGAATGTTGATGCAACTCCAAGCAGTTTAGAAAAGTGTTCTCTAGCTGCTGTGACAGAAAAATGTTTCTTTTGCGGTAATCTAAGACATCCTAGGGTCAAATGTCCAGCTAAAAATACAATTTGTCATAACTGTGGTAAACAGGGGCATTTTGCTAAGGTCTGCAGGGCAGGAAAATTACAAACCAAGCAATTGGATAAATCTAAAGAAGTGATGAACTCTATTGACCTAGCAGCTTCGCCCGGTGGGTTAACAAAGAGTACAGTACAGTACAAGTAGTCTTTGGTGGCAACAAGTCACAACTAACCGTATGTAGCGTGGCAGCCTCAACTGTAGAACCGGTATCTTTGTTTTCTAATTTAAAACCGGAATGTAAGCCAATCGCAATCAAGTATCATCGTCATAGCACCGATGATTTAAAGTTTATTGAAAACGAAGTAAGTAAATTGCTAAAAGACGATGTTATAGAGCCTAGTATGTCTCCATGGAGGGCTCAAGCATTAGTAGTTACTACTGAAAATCATAGAAAAAGAATGGTCATTGACTACTCCAGAACAATAAATCGTTTTACATTACTGGACGCTTACCCACTACCTAGAATCGATGATATTGTTAACAAAGTTGCAAATTATGAGTTTTTCAGTACTATCGACTTGAAAAGTGCGTACCACCAAGTTAAGATAAGAAATGAAGAAAAGCACTACACAGCTTTTGAGGCCTGTGGTCAACTCTACCAGTTTAAGCGTATCCCGTTTGGGGTCACTAATGGGGTGGCAGCATTCCAACGTGTAATTGACCAAGTCATCCGAACAGAACAGTTACAAGACACTTACGCCTATCTTGATGATGTCACAATCTGTGGAAAAACACAAGAACAACACGATATAAACTTAAAAAAGTTTATCGAAGCTGCATCCAAATACAACCTAACTAGGCCTATTAATAATGAGAAGTCTTCATTTTCACTGCGATCGATCAACTTGTTGGGCTATCATATATCAAACAAAACTATCAAGCCTGACCCCAGTCGACTAGATCCTTTGAAAAATTTACCCCCGCCCAGAGACATCGCATCACTGAGGAGGACCCTTGGTATGTTTTCACATTATGCATCACTTATACCAGATTATGCTGCCAAAGTGATTCCACTTGCGCGTACTACATTCCCTTTGTCCAAAGCAGGGCTCCAGTCTTTTGAAACTATAAAAAGTGAAATCATTGGATCTGTAGTAAGCTGCATTGACCCTGAAGCACAGTTCATCGTAGAAACTGATGCATCTGAGAGTACCATTGCTGCTACTTTGACTCAATCGAACCGTCCAGTTGCATTCTTCTCAAGGATACTTTCTCCAGCAAAACAAAGACATTCAATTGTCGAAAAAGAAGCACAAGCTATTGTGGAAGCATTACGGAAATGGCGTCACTATTTGGTTGGTAAACATTTCAAGCTGATTACTGACCAGAGGTCGGTTTCTTTTATGTTCGATAACAACCGTCATGGCAAAGTGAAAAATGAAAAGATAATGAGGTGGAAACTGGAATTGTCGTGCTTTCATTATGATATTGTATATAGACCCGGTAAAGATAATATGGCTGCAGATGCCCTGACTAGAGTATGTTCTTCAATCCAAAATCAAGAAAAACTGTTGATTGATTTACATGCGAATCTATGTCACCCAGGTGTGACACGTTTGTACCACTGGGTTCGGAGTAAGAACTTGCCCTACTCGATTGATGAAATCAGAAGAATAACAAACTCCTGCAATGTGTGTGCTGCTGTGAAGCCTAGATTCTTCAAACACAAAGGGATTTTGATTAAAGCCACTTCTGCATTTGAACGGCTGAATATCGATTTCAAAGGCCCGCCCTTCATCAAGTCGAAACCGTTACTTATTAGTAATAGTAGACGAGTTTTCACGGTTCCCTTTCGCTTTCCCGTGTTCAGACATGTCATCGTCAACAGTTTAAGTCAAAACTAAGAACATTATTTTCTACTTTTGGGGTTCCTAGTTACATACATTCGGACAGAGGAACATCATTTCTGAGCCAAGACTTAAAAAGCTACTTGAACTCACTTGGAATCTCAACTAGTAGAACCACTGCCTACAATCCAGCAGGTAATGGGCAAGTAGAAAGGTATAACGGCATTCTATGGAAAACAATTGAACTGGCATTGAAATCACTTAACTTAGAAATAAACCAATGGGAGACAGTTCTAGAGGATGCCCTCAGCTCAGTGAGATCATTACTTTGCACAGCCACAAATCAAACTCCTCACGAGCGTATGTTCTTACATCCACGTAGATCTGGGAACAATGGTGTTTCAGCTCCTTCATGGCTTCTCAATTCCGGCCCTGTCTACTTGAAGAAATTCAATCGTACATCCAAGTATGAGCCACTTGTTGAAGAGGTCCAACTTCTTCACGGGAATGCCGAGTATGCTCATGTTAAGTTGCCTGATGGAAGAGAAACTACCGTGTCTACACGTCATCTTGCTCCGTTTGGTGAGTACCAAACCGACATAGAGCAAACCGATTTTGAGAGTGAAGAAAATACTCTATTACCCACTTCTCAACCTGAACCTGAATACTTTCCTAGTCCTTCATCAGCACAGAATCAAGAAGATGAAATGAATACTACTGCCGAGAATTTACAACCTAGACAAGAAGCTTCTAGAGGAGAGAACCATAACACATATCCGAGAAGAAGTTTCAGAAGCAGAAGACCTCCTAATTATTTAAATGACTACGTTCATTAACATTAGGGAGGAAGAATGTAGTAAAAAACATGTGTCTTCAATTCTTTATTATTGTTTTGTTGTGTTTGTAAACAAATCCATTATAATTCAATGTAGTATTGTTCAAGTTATTAAATCCTTTCTAAAGGTGATAAAAGTTCTTTTTCATTCATTCTTACTCTCATTACAAGTAGTTTACGCAACGATTGCGTTAAGTTAGTCTTTACGACACGAGTAGAAAATTTAAGGCACGAGCCTCGGCGAGTGCCTTAAAAACTTCTACGAGTGTCGTAAAGACTATTAACGCGAGTTGCGTACACTACTTTACCTACGACAGTTTTTTAATTACTAACAATCTGGTTTTTAATTACTAAAAATCACTACTCATTACTTCTTAGAGAGGTTATGTTTTCGTTTATTGTCAGTGCCAATGAAAGGAAAGTGATGCAACGACTTATTGTATAATCAGCAGATTTCCTGTAATTACGTGTTTGTAAAACTTCGTTAAAAAAATACGTTACCTTTTCCGGGAATGTGTTCTGCTAGCAGCATTCTTACCATAAATACTGCATCAGGTACAATTAGGAAAATTTTGCATTTTTTTTTTACAACCGAATGATTATAGTGAAACAGTTAATTTACAGTTAGATCTCAGCATCGAATATTATAGAATATTATAAACAGTTTGTTCTCTCATTTCTATCTCGTCAACTTCACTTTCACTAACTGACATTATTAAATCAGTTTAATCTACCTTCCTTTAACTTCCACAAACTTGGGTTAAGAATACGCGAGTATCAACAGGAACAAGTCATATCAACAATTAAATTGGTCAACTGATCAGCTGATCAGCTGATTAGTTGACGTTCGAAGCATTACAATTTTAATTCTTTTCTCTCAACACTTGAACCTCATTGGTCCGTTACCTGTGTTGATATGAGAAAAACTATGCTGATATGAAATGAAACTATGCTGATATGAAAGTAAACAGCTGTTAAGTGAAACTTTTCAATTTTAAGAACTGAACTGAAATGGCTACTTTAAAAAACGGACGTAGGTAATAGTATATTTCATTACTAGGACCGAAAGTGGCATTTTCCGTCGCGCGCCCAAGTTTTTGTGTGAGGCGAAGCCGAACACAGGGAACCCCAATTTCACGTGCGAGGCGAAGCCGAGTATGTGAGAGCTATTTTCACGTACGAGGCGAAGCCGAGGACGGGAATAATGGAGCAAGTGCCGGATAATAACTTTCGGTACGAGTTATGAACGATACTTTTCATCACGACGCAAAAATACACAAACACAGAATAGCAGACCTCAGTATATTAAAACAATTTGATTTCTCAATTAATTTGATTGAACATCAAAATAAAATAAAATCTTCTAAAAAGAAACCTACGTATATTTCTCAATAAATTTGGTTTAAACATCAAAATAAAAGAATAACACAACTTTTAAAAATACATACAGCTGATTAAAATCATTAAATTAAACCGTAACAAAACACTGGCGCGCGTAGTGAATAAATGGAGAACTAATTGAGAGCGAGGGAAAGTAAATTTAGAGCGAGGGAAAATCAGCTGATCGATTTTCCCTCGCCCTAAATTAGAGCTTGAGAAACGACTACTTTCATTGATATCAGCTGTTATCGAAAATAGTTACTTTCGTTAAGGAGTGATGAAAAAAATATTATCCTATTGATATAAAAACACACACAAAAAAGGCCTACTAGGCAGGCTAATTAACTTAAATACAAGCAATTAATTTGTGTGTAGGCATATTTAGGCCTAAACCAAATTATCAAGAAAATCAAGAGGGATTAACTTCAAGGTAGACAGCCAAGTTATGAATAGAATAAAAATTATAACTGTCTTCTGTAGGATTGGTAATTAACTAATTTTGTATGCATCCTTCCACACAAAATTTTAATTTTGATACGGTGCCTTATTTGATAGGTAGTTTTTTACCCCTGAATCCAAATAGGCCTATCCTATACCATTATTTTTCACTGCAAATGAATTTCAGTAACTTATTCATTATCTAAAAAACTTATATATATATATAAGGCAAAGCCCCCACTGACTGATTGACTCACTCACTCATCACTCATTCTCCCACTTCCCATTTACCTAGGAGGCTGAAATTTGGTACACTGATTTTATTAGGCATTAAATAGGAAAACTAAGTTGTTTTTATTCTGATATCGGACTCTCGGGCTCCGCCACAGTGGCTCTGGAGTTTCCCATGTTAACCTTATGAGTACTCATATTTAAATGGAATTATTGAATCTTAACAGCTGTTTCAATTAAACAAGTTGGTTCTGTTGTATGATGTGCAATAAAGTTACAAGGATTACCAACAGGGTGCAGCACTATTTTTTTTTTTTTATTTATGACAACAGCTAATTTGCAACCAAAAGGTGAGTGAGCGTAGCGAACGAACTTCAACCAGGACGTGATTGAGCCATGCGAACGAGCTCACTTATGAAGTAAAACGGGGCAAAGCCTGCGGGTACAGCTAGTCTAAATATATAAAAGGCAAAGCCCTCACTGACTCACTGACTGACTCACTCACTCACTCATCACTAATTCTCCCACTTCCCATTTACCTAGGAGGCTGAAATTCGGTACACCGATTCTTTGGGCATTAAATAGAAAAACTAAGTAGTTTTTATTCTGATCGGCTTTCGGGCTCCGCCCCAGTGGCTCTGGAGTTTCCCATGCTAACCTTATGAGTAATCAAATTTAAATGGAATTAATGAATCTTAACAGCTGTTTCAATTAAACAAGTTGGTTCTGTTGTATGATGTGCAATAGCTTTAAAGTTACAAGGATTACCAAAAGGGTGCAGCACTATTATTTTTTTTTTTAATTTATGACAACAGCTAATTTGCAACCAAAAGGTGAGTGAGCGTAGTGAACAAACTTCAACCCGGAGGCGAGTTAGCGTAGCGAACGAGCTAACCTGAAGGCAAGTGAGCGCAGCTAACGAGCTCCAACCTAAAGGTGAGTGAGCGTAGCGAACGAACTTCAACCAGGACGTGATTGAGCCATGCGAATACTTATGAAGTTAAACGAGGTAAAGCCCGCGGGTACAGCTAGTAACGTAATAAAGATATAGCTGTAAAAGTGTAGCCTAATTACGTTTGAATAAAACAGGTAAGACGGATGACATTTACAAGTAGAATTAACTGTGGTAGAAGTAGGCTTTTACAGCTAATAACCTATTTGAATCAAACTCTAGAACATTATTAAAGTAAAGTCATGTCAGGGTAGTAGCGGACATAAATTAGTTTGGAGGCATGTAAGTTACATAGAATAAATGCCTTCTGCAAGAGAAGTTTTGTATATTCATTGTTATTGAAACCAGTCTCATAAGTTATGTAGGACTATCAAGAAGTAGGCCTATCTAATTATAATATTGATTATATTAATGTATGTCCTATTGTAAATTAGCATTGCCGTGGAAGGAATAAAATTTAAAATAGGCCTATAAAAAATATAAATACTAGGCCTACTGGAGTTTAACGACTTTATTCGCAAATGACATCCGTACTAACTTAAGGACCCGACAGTACACTCTATCTTCTCCGGACACATTTTAACCAGATATCGGTTTAACACATAGGTTGGAAATGAGACCTCTTAAACCGCACAATTTATTTCAGGACATCAGTTTAAAACCGGACTAGATCAGCAGGAAGTGGGCGGTAGGCCTACTGAACCACTGTTCTTGTGGGAAAGATTAGAGACCAGTGATCACGTGTCTTTAGATGTATAGGTATTTAGAAATACAATACAGTAGAGTCCCGCAAACTCAGTTCGGCACTCGATAACCCAGTAGTCTGGATAACTTGGCCATCACCGGGCTCAGAAAATTAGTGATTTTTTAGTAAGTTACCAGTTAAACATGGGCTCAAGTCAAATCATTCGCAACTCGTACCAAGGATTTATTGTACTGTATAGCCTATCTGATCGATGACTTAATACTGACTTGTAATATAAATATAAATAAATAAGGCAGCTAAAAGGATTAAAAATTGTATTGTTCTTACTTTTAACCCTAGTTCCCAATAACCAGACATTCCAAAAACTTGGCACCCTTCCGGTCCACATTATGCCGAGTTTTTCAGGACTCTACTGTACTCTCTTAAATTTAAGTCAAATACTGTATACAGTATGCATTTGAACGGTCCGTTTTAAAGGCTTTTTGGGGATGTCCGTTTAACTGGAAACACCGTTATCCGGGCTGGCCTCGGTCCTGAGGAGTCCGGATAAGAGGGAGTCTATTGTAAATGCTATTTACTGAAGCGATGAATGAAACAACACACGCAAACATATTTTTTATTGCATAAAAGAAACACCTTAAATAGGCCTTAAATACTGTGAGTGTCAGCCTTGCAGATCTAAACCTAGAAAGTTAGGCTTATGTGCAGCTAACTTACTTACTTTACAGTGTGTGTGTGTTTACTTTACTTAATGTAGTGATTCAATATTGTTTTAAAGTAGTAATATAAATCAAAACAGTTAAAAGGGCGCTGCACTTTACTTAAAGTCCTACACTCATTTGAATGAAAATATCGATCGACATATCGATTGTTTAATTTGATAAATCGTTTGGTTAGTTAGTTAAGGTCAACCTAACCTAACTAACCAACGATATATCGAATGAAACAATCGTATAATCGATATTTTAATTCCAATGAGTGTAGGACCTAAAGTAAAGTGCAGCCGTTAAAAGTCCTCGTATGCCTAAACTAAGATTAATGTAACAAGTTATCCCTTGGCATGCGAGTCATATCCATATTAAAACTAAAAATACCTTTTTGGATTTCCTTTTCCCCATGTTGCTTATATAAAACACAAATCAAGAATAAAATTATCCTAACCAATTAACTTCGCCCAACAAAAACAAACTCCCAATAACATAGACATAACCTCAATCACACAATACGAATGTGAATGCGGACGCGAAGGCGAAGTGAATTGAATTTAATAATTTAATAAAAAGCCGAAGAAGAAGAATACGAGTACGACAGCCATTGGATGCTGAATTTTTATTTCAGGATTAGTGTTGCCTACAGTATTATTTTGAGGCTTCTGATTTATTTATTTATTTCATTCCAACGGCAAATACCAATACTTATAGGAGGCATGATGCAACATGGCTACATACAAAGAATATACAAAAAGTTCAGATTGGCTGAGGGAACATCATTACAGCGACGATTCGGTTGATGGCAACGGCCTCGGTGGTGTAATTGTTAGGGTGCTGGGCTAATGATCCGAAGGACCCGGGTTCGAATCCCATTCGTATCACTAATTTTTTTATTGGAATTTTTTCATTATCAACAAGTTTGGTTGGTTTGGTTAGGTTATGACGGTTTAATTTTATAATTAAAACATTATAAAAATTGAATTTGACCCATTTATAGTTTTATTTTATGAACAGAAATATTTTTTCGTCTTTTTCTTCATTTGATTTTTCATTATTAGCAAGTCTGGTTAGTTTGGTTAGGTTATGATAGTTTAATTTTATAATAAAAAAATTATAAAATAGGATTTGAGGCATTTATATTTTTATTTTACGAACAGAACTATTTTTTTTGATTAATAAACCTTCATTACATTTTTTCATTGTCAGCACGTTTGGTTGGTTTGGTTAGGTTATGACGGTTTAATTTCATAATAAAAAATATATAAAATTGAATTTGAGGCATTTATAATTTTATTCTATGAACAAAAATAATTTTTCAATTACTAAACCTTCGTTATAGTCAATCAGAAGCCTCTAAATGACACGTTGGCAAAATTAATCCTGAAAAACAAATTGTGCCCATTGGATATAGATTATAAATAGCTCAGTGACGACAGCCGTGAATAGAAGAAGATACTAGGTTCCATTTTCTGTCTTGTTTTAGAGCAGGCTTAGATGTAGTCATGTAGCTTACAGATTTTTGCGGTGGGGCACACGGAAGATTTCTCAGGTGCCGTTTGACGTCACTAACTGCTGACGTCAATAACTGCTGCGTCTGAAGAAACAGACAATTTTATAATTTTCTATTATTAAATTAAACTGTCATAACCTAACCAAACTAACCAAACGTGCTGATAATGGAAAATCTAATAAAGGTTTACTAATCTAAAAAATAGTTTTGTTCATAAAATAAAATTATAATTGTCTAAAATTCAATTTTTTAATTATAAAATTAAACTGTCATAACCTAACCAAACCAACCAAACTTGCTGATATGAAAAAATTGCTGATAAGAAGTTAGTGCAGCCGGCGGGGTTCGAACCCGGATCATTTGGATTACCAGCCCGCAACGCTATCCATTGCACCACCGAGGCCGATGGCTGAGAACCGTATCGTTGCGGTATTAGTGTTCCCTCAAAGTGACGTCAGCAGTTAGTGACGTCAAACGGCACCTGAGAAATCTTTCGTGTGCCGTTTCGCAGATTTTTGGGTCTGACTTAAGGGAGGTACAAATGAGGCAACGATTACATCATAGTTTAGTTCAAAATTCTTCCGTTAACAGCGTTGTAGTAGAGAGCACAGCGTGTAATTTCTACTTGACTATTAAGCCTAGTTAATTATAAAATTAAGAAAAATTATAAAATTTATCTTAAAATTTTTTGATTATTAAATTAAACTGTCATAACCTAGCCAAACTAACCAAACGTGCTGATAATGAAAAAATCTAATGAAGAATACTAATCTAAAAAATAATTTTGTTCATAAAATCAAATTATAAAAATACCTAAAATTCAATTTTATAATTTTTTCATTATAAAATTAAACTGTCATAACCTAACCAAACCAACCACACTTGCTGATTAAAAAAAAATGTTGACGAAAAGTTAGTGCTGCCAGCGGGATTCGATCCCGGCACCTTCTGATTATCAGCCCGACACGCTATCCACTACACCACCGAGGCCGATGTCTGTACTCCGCATCTTTGCTGTAAATGGTGTTCCTTCAAGACGAGATCTGACAGCTGACGTCATCGAAGGCTCTTCTGTACCTCCCTTGAGTAAATATCCAGATTTTTTAATATTACTATTTTTTTCATTTATAGCGACTAGGGAACCCGTGCTCGGCCACGGCCTAGTAGAATTGGCAACGTCGCAAGTAGGGTTGTTTAGTGCCAGACGTCCCATAAGATAATATTGCGGACAGATGACATCAGCTCATTAATTTGCACTTTATTGATTACAATTTATATGTGTGAACATAAATAATTTATTAAAATATTGAATATAAAACATACAGAATTGAAAACCAAAACAATATGAATTGAAAATCTAAATCTGTATATTTAAAGCGGAGTCAATATTTGCATAGTCCAGTAACCAAGCTTTCGTAAATACACAAATGCCAATATAGCGGTTTCCAATCGAAACAGCTGTTACAACCCTACTTGCGACGTTAACACTTCGAAGGCCACGGCCCGGAGTTAAAGGCGGCCGTGACCCGCGTGTCTCAATGAGTCGCATTCGCATATTATGAAACTGAAACATATCGTCGAGGAAAACTTTGTGCTTAAATTAGAATTACCATATTAACATTTAGAGGGTTATTATTAAAATTGTAAAAAAATTGATTTTTTAATATATTTCTTAATTGCGTCGTGAAGGATCACACATATTACTTTTCTGCTCTCAGTCACAGAAAACGTACTATAGTAGTACGTTTTCTGTGTCTCAGTTGGTTTTAACTTATTTACTTGTAATGAAAAACGCTTTCCTTCAATTCGATTAAACATTTATAAAGTATGTTTGCAACACAGTTTTTTCCAGCATGGAGAACTAAAAGAAAATTGTTGCTTCGCTTATAATCTGTGTGAAATAAATTCAAGGTCCATTTATTTCTTTGATTTAATACATCCCTATAAACCAACGGATTTTCTAAATGAGGATAGCTTGCTTGTGTATGGATATCTTTTAATAAAACATTGCAAATTTATTTATTTTATACTAAGCTATTAACATTTTTATAAAAATCACATTTAATAATCCTCCCTGCAGCATGAGTTAAAGGCGGCCGATGCAGCAGTAGTCCTAGGGACAAGATAACAACTAATGTTATTTAAACATATATTAGGTGGAATTATTTTTACCCAAAACCCTAAAATTACTGTACTCGACTGTACTATTAAATGTCACTTTTGTATATCAGATAGATTGACATTTTATAATTTTTCTAGTACATAGTGTATGTTACTTCTCATGGCAATTATTGATTTACATAGGCTTTGAAGTTGTCAATTGATTTGGAAATTTAGCACAAGAATTTTTTTGTTTAATTTCCAGTCGTGGCAGATCTTTTTAAAGATGGTGAAGTTATCCAATCTTCTTTCCTTAGCTTATTATAGATGTTTCTCCTTGCTCTTTAATTTGCTGGACTCTGTAAAAACATACAGTGTGTCCCAATAACTCAGAGATATTCCTGTTGCATTGCATTTTCGACAAAAGGGAGGGTAAAGCTTTTTGAGCTAAGATCTATTTTGTATTAGAGCTGTCTTGCATTGTCCACAGAGATCTGTTCTTTCTGGGTCGAATCTCTTGCAATGATATAGGTACGTGAATAGCTTATGTTATAGCATAGATAAAACATACTCCAGCATAGATAAAACATACTCCTTGCGTTCGGTTATAGTAATACCATAGATAAAACATACAATACTGTAGCAAGTCAACTGTTGCCTTGCTTAGAGACAATCTAGTTCGGCCGCTTAGAAAGCGACCTCCTCCAACATTGGTTTAGCATTAGCGCGCAGGTAGTTTTCTAAGCGGCCGAACTATGGTAGTTTCACGGTTGATAAATCATAATTTTCCAAATTCCATCAGCAAATAATCATTATGGTAATTAAGTGATGTAAACAAATAAAGAGTTAGGTACCAAATTAAAGTACCACTTACTTAATACATCAAATTATTATCGTTCACCTTACATTTGTGATTGACTTAAAATACATCATAAAATAATATGTGAGTTGAGTTACCATGAAAAAAAAAACATAATGTTTAAGCTATACAATGTTTATAGTATACTTTACAAAATGTTGTATTTTCGCTGTCGGTGTTGCTGACACAACTAACTGGCCTTCTTATTCGAGAGTCGAGAGGGACTGGCCGAATCCGAAATCCGAATCCCGAATGTCGGTCGATGTCGAATCCGAATCCGAATGGTAGTGAGTGGTATGGTATGGCGGAATGGCGTAAACCTATGTTTCTATAGTCAACCAACATAACCAAAACAAAACATTTTAATCATATTTTTACGTAAAATTGTTCACACTAAAGAGTGTTTTTAATTAATTTTATTCATACGAGCAAACAAGATCAATCATCATGGGAGACCAAAATCTCTTGGATAAGTCTATGAGATCGGTGTTTGGTAAAGAATAATAATTTAGCTATAATAGTTTTACCGGCTAAGATATTACAAACTCATAACTTTTACAATTCTTTTCGTTTAAACTTATTCTAATTTCATAATAGGATTTAAGTTGATACTTAACTTAAGCAATATTTTTAGGAGAATTATTTTTTTCAATAGGCTCCTAGTATGCATTTTATTTTAGGGCTTGCGTGTAAATTTTGCCTACCTATTCCACTGAGTTTTTGTTTATCCCTATGTACATTTTGCTGCCTACCGTGTGTTAAGCTTTTACCCAAAAAGGGATTGATGGCGCCAGAATTTTAATATACACAAATTAATTTTAAACAAACTGATACAAATACAAACAAAGTAGGTAGGTCTATCGTATTGCAAGGTGCAAACTATCCAGGCTGGCAGAAATTAAAAAGGCTTGGTTTTTATGAAGTAGTACATAATTTTTGTTAACGATTTAAATCTCATATTTGGTTAATGCCTAAGATATTAAATAGGTGTTAGCCTGAGGTGTCCTTGGGCTGTGCCTGGAATTTTTTTAAATCAAGCCCGGGAAATCA